TTTTAAAGAACTGACACCGAAAGCAAGAAGGCTTATGTTCTTGCAAAGCAGCAAGACAAATTTGTGTCATTCCTGGGCAATGCTAGGAAATGTTGGGAAAGGGGAGATGGACTGGTTGCAGAGATAAAGCTGGGGGTGCCAGAAATCCATCCATCCAGGATACCATTTGGTGAAACAAAGAGATTCATTTGCTCTCTCCAAAAAAAACAAGTGAATTATAGTCTCCTGGGATAGGAGTTAATACAGGGCACATTCATGCTTTGTACTCATTTCTTATGATCAATCAAACAATTAACTTTTACATTTTTAAAGCTGCCTTCTCTGCAAATCCTAAACATCTTTGTGTGGGTTCATATTACTCAGGTAACCTCAAAAGCATTGGAGCAATCTTGATGCGCAAAACAAGGATGCTAAAAGTGGCTGGTGGCTAGCTTTTCTGGGGATTCCTTTTATTAAGAATCCTTCTCGCCCGAACTTCCTGGCGATTGCTGTTGTGCCCCCCTCAAATGGCACCTTGCAATGCTTCCTCTCAGCTTAGAGGCAATTGCTGTCTTTATAATTGGACATAACTAAAGATGAGGAAGACAGAAAGCCTGACATTTATCATGTTTCTACTGAATCTCAACTCTGGGCTCTTAATGCAAGAAGGACTAGCAAATTCTTAGCGGGGAGTATTGATTTCTGGCTTGGATTAGATTTGTATGACAGGTGTAAAATGAGGGTTCTGATCTCAGCAAAATATTCTTAGAACAGCATGCCTAACTAGCCCAGTGGACTGCAGCAAAATAAACAGGATTTATTTGCTGCATCTCTCTTCCTTCCGAAATGATGCAAAAAGCTGCTAATCATCTCATAAACCATCTTCTAGCTCCCCTTTTACAATGTAGAGTGCAAGCAGGAGAGTGTCATCAAATTAGCTGAATTATCCCAACATTGCTGGTATTCCATATTGTTTAAAGCAATCTCACTTTTAGGAATTGTCTGTAAGAATTTTATCTTAGCATTAAAATGTTTGATATCAGTTAATGGTGTTGCATTTTATTACAGAAGAGTATGCTTTTAGACATCATGTCTACATGTGGACATCCAAGTTATTTGTGTGAAAGAAAACCCACTGTGCACTGGGATTTTGATTGTCCTCTTCTTTATAGCAACTCATGCCAAACCAACCTTATTTTGTTCTACAAAGTGACTAAATGAGAAGATTGGGGGAAATGCTATGGACATAGTATACTTTGTCAATAAGGCAATTGACAAAATAAATCACACACTGCTTCATGATAAGATAGAAAAAATGTGAGATAGACAGCATTACCAGCAGATGGATTCATAACTGGCTGACCAACTGCACTGAACAAGTAGTCCTCAGTGGACTTTCTTGATGGACCTCCTCAATGGACCTCTACATTTAGAGAAGCATGCAGTGGGGTACACTGGGGTTCTGTCTTAGGCCCAATACTATTCAATACTTCATAAATGATTTAGAAAAGTGGACAGAAGAAGAAGAAGTCATCAAATTTGCAGATGACACCAAGCTGTGGAGAATAGCCAACACTTTGGAAGATTTGATCAGACGTGAACATTGGGCCCTATACAACAAAATGCAATTCAGTGGTGAGAAAAGTAAGGTTCTGCACTTAGGCAGAAAAAATCAAATTCATATGTACAGAAAAGGTGGTGCCTGGCTCATGAGTAGTAACTATGAGGGAGACAGGTGTCCTAGCAGACCACGACTTAAATATGAGTCAGAGGTGTGCTGCAGATGCCAAAAATGCCAATCCAGTCCTGGATTGCATCAACAAAGGGATAGTATCAACATCACATGAAATGATAATATTGCTTTCTACTGCACTGTAAGACTACACTTGGAATTCTGTGTCCAGTTCTGGTTACCACAAAGATATTAAAACAAAAAAGATATTGAGACTTTAAAAAGAGTGCAGAGAAGAGCAACAGTGACAATTAGGGGACTGGAATCTAAACTATATGATGAATGGTCGTGGGATCTAGGTATATCTACTCTAATGAAGATTAAGACCCAATAGATGTCTTCCAATCCTTAAGGGGCTGTCAAAGGGAAGAAGGAATTGAACTATTCTCCAAAGCATCTGAGGGCCAAACAAGAAGTGACAGATGGAAGATCATTAAAGAGAAATCCAATCCACAATTAAGAAGAAATGTCCTGAGCGTGAGAACGATCAACCAGTGGAATGGCTTCCTTCCAGAAATTGTGGCTTCTCTATCGCTGGAGATTTCCAAGAAGACATTGGACATCCATTTCTCTGGAATGGTATATAGCAGGGGTATCAAACTCAATTTCATCAAGGGCTGCCTCAGGATTATGTTGGGCTTTGGGGTGCCAGGGAATGTAGCCATGATGGGCGTGGCCAGCTTGATGTCCCTTGTGTCAGGTGCACCTATCGTGGCCCAGGCAGAGCTAGGAGGAGTCACTTTTGCTACTAATTTGTTTTGCTAGCACTCAGCCAGAGAAAACTGAGCTCGGGGGAACCAGGCGCAGACTTCTGGGCTTCATTTTCAGCTGTGATAGCCTCCTGCAGCCCTCTGCCAGCAAAAAGGGCCACTGCGTGCAGCCCTCCCAAGCTCCATTTTCACTGGCAGAGTCACTGTGGGCTGGTCCTTCGCTGTTCCAGGGCGGCCTTACGGGCCAGATCTGGGCCCTGGGCCTTGAGTTTGACACCCCTGGTATATAGGGTCCGTTGCCATGCACAGGGAATCGGACTAAACAATCAACAGGGTCCCTTCCAATCAGGGGTGGGTTCCTGATGGCATTACTACTGGTTCAGAGCCCGAAAAAGTTTGCACGCACGAACGCCAGATTTACATGCGTGTGTGTGCACTTTAAAAGGTCTGCACATGCGCACAACATTAAAAAGGGGGGGAAATTACATTATTTCAATGAAGATTGTTCTGTGCATGTGCAGAACAGAAAATAAAGAGGGTGCCACCAAGGGTAGAACCGGCTCAGTCATGTGTTTGGCCGAGTTACTACCTATTCAGCTGAACCAGTCCGTACTGGTAGGAACCCACCTCTGCTTCCAATTCTATGATTCTTTGGCCAGGCAGCCTCTGCTCCTTGGAGCCTATCGGCATCCATCTTTTCGGGGTGGGTGGGGAATATCAAGATGGTGGCTGGATGCTCCAGCCATTTTTCATGCATGGCAGCCTCGAATCGTGTATTCTGCAGCTTCTGTACTAATTCAGCAAGTGCCTTGGAAGTGATGCAGGAAAGACAAGTATATGTGATTTTTTTAAAAAATATAATATTCAATGTAGTATTGACTGCAAAGTAAATTTGATTAGTCCAAAGGGAAGGAAATGAGCAGTGTGGGCGGGAAAGAGAGCAAGAGGATGTTTGCCAAAATAAAGGGTTATCGACTTCCCAGGAGCAAAAGGAAATATTTATCAGTAACTCTAATCATGTTGAGAATAAAGAGACGTTATAGAAACAGCTTTTTTTTAAGTCCTAATTTGTTTACCATAATTAGATTTAATTTTTAAAAACATCAGAGTTGTCACAGATAGAATTCATGCCTGCAGTTCCTGGCAAGCCTGTCAATATGTCAGAATAACTCTGGCATCTCCACAGATCTCATCACATCACAGGCCAAGGCTCAAGATGCTACATCTCACCCCTGAAGGGAGTGACTGTGGTAAGCATTAAGTCCTAGCCAGAAGCTTTTGCTAATGTTCGATTCCACACGATGGAGCTGGCTATGGTGGGTATTTTCTTAAAGGAAGCTAATCAACTAATCTAATCTGGAAAGAATTAATCTAGAACTAAGGAGAAATTTCCTAACAGGTAGAACATTTAGTCAGTGGAATGACTTGTCTCCAGAAGTTGTGGGTGCTCCAACTTTGGAGGCTTTTAAGAAGAGATTAGACAACCATTTGTTGGAAATGGTATAGGGCCGGGATGGTGAACCTATGGCACAGGTGCCACAGTTGGCATGTGGAGCCATTTGCCAGTTGCATGCGCGCACTGGCCAGCTGAGTTCAGCCTTTTTTAAAGCCATTTTTTCCCCTCTCCAGGCTCCAGAGGCTTTATAAGGAGGCTGGGGAGGGTGAAAACAACTTCCGCCACCCGGAGGCCCTCCAGAGGCTTGAGAAGCTTCCCTGAAGCCTCCGGAGCACAAAAACCTGACCCTATGGGCAAACCAGAAGTTCGGGGATGTACTTCCGGTTTGCTCATAGGGCCGGGTTAAGCCCTCAGGAGCCATCAGGGGCCTTCCAGAGGCTTCCCTGAAGGCTCCGGAGGATGAAAAACGACCCTATGAGCAAACCGGAAGTTTGCTGTTTTTAGTCCTCCGGAGCCTTCAGGGAAGCCTCCTGAAGGTCCCTGAAGGCTTCTGAAGCCTGGGGAGGGCAAAAAAAGCATGCAAAAAATAAGGGGTCGCGCCTGTCATGCGTGCATGCATGCTCGGGTGTGTGTCGCACATTGCACTATGGGTGTGGCACGCCCACGCATGCCCCCCCCCTGCGCTCCCTCCGCTTATGGCACGTGAGCCAAAAAAGGTTCGCTATCGCTGCTTGAGCAGGGGGTTGGACTAGAAGACCTCCAAGGTCCCTTCCAATTCCATTATTATATTAAATAGTTTTTATGTAATTCTTTTACAGGTCATTTCTAAGCAGCCTCATTAGGTGTGGTTGTGGGGTTTTCCATGCTCAGCCTTAAAGAAGGAGGAGCTGGGAGTGAAAGGCAGCTGAAATGGGGCTTTCCCATAGGTGTTGCCCATCATCACTTCATAGGTGGCTCAAGGCAGAACAGGAGGTGAGGGCCAGGCAACAATTTGCCAGAAGCTCTCCAGTGCACCTCAACAACGGGGCCTGCTGTGCAGAGGCCAGTCCTGGGCATTTCAGACAGACTTATTTGCAAGCGAACGTGCAGAGACATACGGTATAAAATACTCTTGTGATTATTCCATCTTCGAAGGNTGGCCCTTGTTGAGATGAAGGTTTAGATCAGGTATGTCCAACCTTGGCAACTTTAAGACTTGTGAACTACAACTCCTATAATTCCCTACCCAGCATGTCTAGCTAGGGAATTCTGGGAGTTGAAGTCCAGAGGCCTTAAAGTTTCCAAGGTTGGACATACCTGATCTAAACCTTCATCTCAACAAGGGCCACTCTGAAAAAGTTCCTTCACATTTGATCTTGGAATAAAGTTGCTTTTTTAAATAACATTCTTACTGTATGAGGCTTTCCAAAGGCCTAGTGAGTTTAACACATTTCCCTCACCCAATTTAAAATGGAAGGTGCTTTGTCTAAAGATGTGTTTTAAGTTTGCCAGTTGGAAGGAAGGCATTTATTTCCCATTTTTTGAACCACAGCATTTCTGGAAGGGACAATGGATCAGCCCAGCGGGAGAAGTTTCATGCAAGTTCTTTGTGAAAAATACAGCCCGGAAAACTTCCCTTATCGTCGTGGTCCCGGAATGGGCGTGCATGTCCCGGCTACACCTCAGGGTTCACCTATGAAAGGTACAGGTTTGGGCTGCCTTTTTCTTTTGGCTTCCTTCGAGCAGGGCTTGGATTAAAGTTTATTAGGTTTACTCTTTGTTCTCCCTCTTCTGTGAGAGGGATGGGAGGGAAACGTCGTTTCTTTCTGGACTGCAAAGAATTTTTGGGTACACTGACTCTGCATTCACTCCTCCCTGACCACCACCACCCACCCTATTCTGATTTGGAATTCCTGTCAGGTTGATTTCTATCACAGACATTCCCAAAGAGGAAATACAAGCCAGGTTATTTGGGTGGAATTGACAGTAACTGAATGTGACAGAAAAGAACAAAAATAAGTTGAGCCAGTCGGGGACCAAATGTATTGTATGTCACTCCGAGTTAACCTTTCCAGAGATACCTTAAGAAAAAAAAAACAACTTTTCTGGTTATTCTTCTGATTTCTTCGCTCAAGTACCTCAAAAAGATGGAAAAACTATCTTGGCCCTGAGTCAAGGTTATGGTTTTATTAAAATGCTTCTATCCAGCAAAATATCCCAGCGTATGCTACAGCATACCGCTCCCTTGTTCAATATGCATACCCTCATCACCCTTTTCTTCATAGCAACTCCCCTAACGAAAAAGGCAAAATTAAAGTTTTCCTTTATGCCAATAATCATTGCAATTGCCCCAGGAAACCATCTTTTACATGAAGAAAGATCTCTCCATAAGCTTGCATCTTTCATATTGTCTCCAGAGTTACTCTTGTTTTATTAGATTTCTTTTCCAGAGTAATTTGGTTGCACTGATTTCTGAAACATTAATACTGCTTCTGAAGAACCTACTGAAAATATTGTTAGGGTAGATGGTAAGAAACTGTGGAAAGGGCTCAAAGACATTAGTTGGTGTTCATCAAATATGGAATCTAGAGAAGGATGCATAGGAGAAATTTATCTTGTTTTACCTTTTGATATAGTCATCCTAAACCAGGGGTGTCAAATTTGATTTCGTTGAGGGCCACTTGACCTCTGGGGGAGGAGGGCAGCCCAATCTCACTCATTTCGGGAGACCCTGTGGTGGTCCGAGCGCTTTGCCAGCGAAAATGGGCTCTCAAGCTCCATTTTTTGCTGCGACGACCTCCTGCAACCC